TTTCTCGATTTTGCTGCTTGCTGTTCGTTCGGTTCAACTTCAACGAACTGCGGCAAAATGTATTTTGCGCCGGAAGTGCGTCATCTAGCTTACATAAAATTCTTAACCAATAGTAACGAATTGCTGCTGCAGCGTGCTGCGCATGAAAAAGCACCTTTAATCTACAAATTGCTCAACTATTTATACCTGTACCTGTAGGCAATAAATGTTGTTAGTAACAACAGACAAAATGTATCATTTAGAAATTCGAGACCACTGAAATAATTTTCTGGTGACAAAAAACGTTTATGATTTAGCTCATAATGGTAAGCTCGTATTAATATTAACGTATAATATTGCAATCGCCAAATTTGTCATAATTAAAATTTTCAGATCTATCATATGCAGAAAAATTTTTGATAATGCAAAAGCAAAAATATCCTGCATTATTTCGAAACAAGTCTGCAATAAATGACGAAACACACGATAAAAAAGTATTAAAGTTAACAAATGGGTCAAATACTATTGAACTTCATGTATCAAATAATATTTTTGAACGTGCTAACAATGGTAAAACTCAGAATATGTGACAGATCCTTTTCGCGTGTGTTCTTACTTTCTATCATAAGTTTTTATTTCTATAAATCCACAGTTTGGTGTACATTTGTTCAATAAATACAGTAAAGAAATATTCAAGCAAAAGTCTCATTGCATAGGCACAAATGTTTCTGAAGATAGAGCTAATGAAAATAGACAGTTTAATAATTCAAATTAAACTTAATATACCTCCCCGGTCAAGAACAAAGGCTCTAGCAGGTTAAGAAGGGGTCAATCGGCCCCCAAACGGATTATGACCAGCATGTCACCAAAAAGTTCGTTGACCTGAAAAAAAAATTTGGAGAAATTTTTAATTCCGTACACCACCCCTTTTCGGAGATATTGCCTTATGAAGTATTTTCATATTTTATTTTTGTCACGAGACCTATCAGATACAATTTTATTAAAAAAATTTGGGCATACAAAACGTATCAAAAGGTATTTGAAAATATTTTTTGCGAGATGTTCCAACCTAACCATAATTTTTAAAAAATTCTTGAAAATTTATAAGTGACCCCCTTTTGTTAGTTTATGATTGGCAACCTCGCAAAAATTCAAAAACATGTATTTTTAAACTTATTTTCACCCTGAATTTTTTCAGAATTTTTTGAACCCGGCATCATGCCTAAAAAAATTAAAACTCGCCTAAAAAGGCAAAAAATCGCCATAAAATATATATCAAGTAGCCATAAAGCCCTAAAAGGCTCATAAGATAGCGTGCAGAATTCGCCATTAGTTTCGTTTAGTTTAGATATTTAGCGAAAATTATCAAGCCTGCTGAATTATTATCCAAATTATTCGATGCCCAGAAAATTGCACCGGTCATCAATGAGGATAGCGACGACGATTAATAATATATACATGAACATATATAAATATATTATGTTGATCAAAATAAAGAAATTCCAAAAAGCATTTATAACCTTTAAATATTTCAAAATAGTTCCAATATGAAAAAAAGCATATGGCTAAAATTTTCAGAAAAAAATTCGGTTATGGGATGAAATTGTCGTACGATATTTTTTCTGCCTTAAATTCATCAGTCGTCCTCCGATACTCGTAGAAAATACTTATTACTGATGTATTCTAGTGTCTTAAGATTGCAGAACTATTCTAACCACACTTCAAGGCCGTCTGAGAGTTTTGCGACTCTCTCAAGACCATTTTATGGCATTTTGAATATTTTAAGAATGCCCCAAGGATATTTTGTAAATGTTTTAGAGTTTTAAGACTGCTTTAATGCTGAATAGTAATGTTAATCGAATTTTAGGGCTGTCTCAGAATTGTATTAGTGTGTTACGATTGTCTTAACCCTTTGCGTCACGGTGAGACGCTCAGCGTCCAACCTTTTATCCGTTGATTTTTTCACCTTTAAAAATCAGTTTCTCATGTTTTTTTACGTCGTGATTAATTTTCTACATAGCTGAGGCATTTATTTGTCGAATACAAGACATCATACATATTAACATACTATAGTTCATTAATTATAAACAATAATATACCAAAAAATGGCCATTTTTTGAAAAAGAAATCGTTTGTGAAAAATAATCACATACAATTCGCTTGAAAAACGCTACTCAGGG